CTCGACTGAGCGAGGATTGGGGATTTTTTTTATAAAAACAAGGTTTCTCTTGCGGAAATCAATTTGGCAAAATCGATTTTCATAACACAGATATTTGCCTCTTGATAAATGTAATGTCAGTGGTGACCTTTTTGGTCAGGCTCTTACAGAAGTACAAATGACTCTGGGGACTGTGTTAGACAGTTGGAAAGAGCACACATGTTTATCTAACTCCCCGCAGTTGTTCAAGATAAGGCAATTATGTTGCTGGTGGACTCTGGGGTTACTTTGTCGGAGGGAAGGAGTTAAAATCTTTGGCCAGGGGTGCTGTCAGAATGAACAATGGTAAAGTGACAGAGAAAGGAGAGAGATTGATGACAGAAGTCAACACAACCCAAGAATGAACCTGCGCCTCTGAATATTATGTTAAGAGGGAGGGGCTAAGAGAGTTGGACCATTCTTGTTTCTATTAACTGTGCTAGCCTCTCTACAAACGGTGGGTCACAAACTCACATATTTGGCATTCCAACAAGGCCGGCTCTGATTGGCTTGGCAAGTGCTAGGGGCAGGGGAGGGGAGGGGTTGGAATGAAATATGGATTTATTGGTCTTATTGAGTGATGAAAGACAGACAGGGAGAGGGTTGGGAGATCTGACAGAGATGGATGGATGGAGAGATGAAATGAAAGAGAAATGTAGCTGTGTAGAAAAACGTGAACCAGCACTACAGCACAGCCGGACTTATATTTCAGAGTCGCTCTCTTCTCTCAATCTCTTAACTGTTTTCCAGAGTATAAATTCAGAAAGAAATGCCTCCCCTTTCATCTATCTTTTTTAACACCTTTCACTTTCCCATTTTCCCCTCCATGGTCCTATGCGCACACACACACACACACTGTGTCCAGTCCTTTTTGAAGTCCCAAAGTCCAGAGTAATACCCCCTCTCTGTTTTGGAACAATGGACCTAGGGCCCCACCCTGCCCCTCTTCCCTGTCTCCCCCACTCCTGTCCCCCCTCTCTGGGCCTCGGTGTCGGCTCTAAGCCCTTGTATTAGGCAGAGTCTGGTGCCGCTGAATGGACCCGAGCTCAGCCGCTGCTCCACCCAATAATCTGGGCTCGGACGAGCCGATTAGGCGGTCCCCGGCATTCCGATCCACTCATCCGTAATGCCGACCAGTCACCTCTTAGGACGTGTTAGTGTGGCATTATAACCCAATGGGGGAAAAAATAATATCAGAGGTAAGCGTAATTGCTCTAGGGTTGAGTGATGGGCGATGGCTCTAGACTAACATGGGTCTCACTCTATCAGGGTGAGTAGTAGGGCTTTGATGGGGATTGTTCTGTAGTGTCACAGTGTTCCGGTGTTGTGAGCTTGTCAGCTGGTGGAACCTCATGTGCTTTTAAATAGACTAAAACTGAACCTCAAAGCAGGTGATTCTCCACACAACATCCATCTCTGGGCTTTTAAATGCACGGGAGCAGCATATTACTTGCTGACCGTGTGTGTACAAGACCCTCTGGTGCTGACTGTGATTGTCTGACCTTTGATCCTGAGTGAGCCCTCCTCCCCTCAGAGGTTCAACATTCCACAGGGCAGTAGAGTGCAGAGATGAAAGAGGGAGGGGGTAGAGGAGAATAAGAAAGTAAAACACTGGCCAGAGAGATTAAAGTAGAGAGATCAGGCTCCTGCTCCCGAAGAGGCTCTAATACATCAATAATTCACTCTGGAGGAGGAGAGGAAGAGGCTCGAACAGTCTGGAGTCTATTTTTCACTAGACACAACACACAGGCAGACACAGACGCACAACCACGACATTCACTGTCTGCTATCGATGTCATTCATTATCCCCCCTTATCATCACACAGTTTCCTCAGCAGACCCAATACACACACAAACAAACATAGTTGCATATCTGTCATAGTTCCACAAGTCATCCATAAGCAGAGAATGTCACCCCTCCCTGTAGTTATTTCTGCTCAGGCGCTAAACATTGCTGTCATTAAAACTGAGCATCCCAGGAACAACAGAGAGTATAAATCAGCTCTGTAGCCATAGTGAGAGGCAATTCAGGCACCATTTTCAATATGGAGTCTGAAAGGAAGAGAGTGAAGCTGTTTAGTTTGCCAGAGTAATGGTGACAATGTTTTACGTTGTTAAAAACTTTTGAGTCCGGCATTATTTGAAGTGCCTTTAATCAGTCGGGCTGCTGAGGACCATTTAATGCCAAAGCGTTAGAAGACAAAAGCCCCCAGGATAATTAAACTATTTACAATTAATAAAGGGGCCCCTCAGGGGTGTGCATTCATCCACCTGTTCATTTTGGTTAGTGAGATATTACATCAGATGAGGGTGTGAATGGTACCACTGTATGAAATGGTAGTATTGATGAAGCAACTGCAACACTCACACACAAAGTTTAGCACAGATCAAAGCCATTCGCAGCTAGAGGCCCCTGACCCTCTCATTCACATGGCTCCCCCCTTCCCCTCACTCCCAGCCTGAGGGGGCAGGGTGGGGGGGGGGAGGGGAAGCATAATTACCCCCCTCCAGGGTGACTTTAATACCCCTTTTTGTGTTTTAATTGCACCCCCCTTTTGATGAACACGTGGGATGGGGGGGTCTGTGTGTGTGTGCGTGCTCAGTCGTGTGGTTACTGTTTGAGGAGGATACTAGGTCAAACACAGCATACAAACATGTTTGCTCAATAGTATTATTGATTTAGCTGGAATTGCGAGTGGCAGGCAAAATGACCACTCTACAGTAGAATTTGTAAACAGTGTGTGGCAGCCAGACAAACTGTAGATAAGAACTAAACTGTCCTAGAACACAGTCAGTGGAATAATAATTACTGGCACTGTGCTTAAATGCTACTATTATGCAGCTAGATGGTAGTTGATGCGCTTCATTAGTATACGGAGAGAAACAGTTGCTCTTTTGACCGGCCCATAACTACTCTTGTCACAGTGCCGTTAATCTGGTCATCTGCATTGAGAGAAAGCAGGGAGGCAGAGAGGGTTGTGCTGGAGGGGAGGGTCAGTGGGCACTAGCGGCTTGGAGTTTGGAGCCACAGCGTCTGTCCTTTAACCAGGGGGTCCACCGCACCGGCAACAAGCAACAACACCAGCCAATGAGCGACAGGGGCCTCTCTCTGCTCATGCACTTTGATCGTTACTCACACATATGGACCTTGTCACACCAACATATACCCCCCCCCCCCCCCCCGGAACACATCCCAAATGTAACTTGTTGCGTTCATTGCTTTCATGGGGTGAAGCTGGAATTCTCAACAAAAAAACAAATACCCTATAGCCAAAATGGCTCCAATGTGGAGTTTTCATTGGCAGATGTGCAAATACCCACCCCAGGGCTATGGAGCAACTGAGCTCTCACAGAGCTGTGTGGTGTAAAAGGGTGTGGATATAACACACCACACAATAGCTGGCTTTGTGAGAGTACCCCAAATGCAGAGTTGCACATGTATTCATTGCAAAAGCAATAAAACTCTATCTAAGACACACATTCGGGGCGCGTGTTGTGAAAACAGTTTAAGCCGGGTGAGTTTACTCCACTTCTCCGTTACTCTGGGCACCCTGGTGATGCAGACAGATTCAGGCAGGAGGAGTTGGTCATGGAGAAGCACAGCTTGAGTAACTGAACACTGGGTGAGGGGGGTGGTGGTGTCACTAGAGCTAGCTACTGCTCCCTCCAGGTTGGTATGTGGTGATGGATGGGGATGAATGCATATCTCTGTGAGAAAGAATTACGGGAAAGGAAAGAAAGAAAGGTAGAGAAAGAGAGGGAGGGAGGAGGGTGGAGTGTAGGTGATTTTTACTGGGTGGATCTAGGGGCCTCCTTACACTACACTACTACAAACTAGGTCCAGGAGAGATACTTGTGGAGTGTAAAGAGACAGATACAAATCTCTCTTTAAGAGATGTCTCCCACACTAGGGGACATCTACACCTCATACCCCCCTCTGAGTGGAACAGTGTAAAGACAAGGGTCCTCCCACACCACATGCTCCCTAAATAATTACCTTAATTACCTTAATACCAGTAGACAGCATTCTTTCTCTGTTAGCCAAATGGAAAATTAAAGGCTTTTAAAATATCCATATATTTGTGACTCATTACATTTAATCAAGTTTGCAACACTATGTGCAATATGGTTTAGATGAGAAGCTCCTGTATAGTTTGAATTGCTATCGTTATTTAGTTTGTCTATATACTATGGCATTTACAGTATGCTAATAGCTGCACTCGCACATGAAGCATGAATCACATCCAAGGCTAGTGTGAACAGAAAAGTTGCAAATCCGATGTTGAAGAAAGATAGATCTCACATATTTTACAAATGTAAATCCACCCTAGGACTGCTGTTGTAAAAAGCTTGGAGAGGAGGAGTGGAGGGATGGTGGAGAGGCAGACAGACAGACAGTCTGACTGTCTCTGCTCCCTGTGTGTGTACTATAATGAGAGGGGGAGTGTGGCAGGAGACAGAAACAGACAGGGACCAGACGTGTGTGTCTGTCTGTCCGTCTGTCCTTAATGAAAGGGGGAAATGCTCAGAAGAGACCTGGCCTCCTCATATTCATGCGTCTCAGTCTTTAGGGTGGTGGCGGTGGTGTGTGTTTGTGATTAGGCATTCTGCATCCCTTGTCTGTGCCTGCCTGGTGTGTAGCTCTGGCTGCAGTTTAGTGTCGATACTCATCTCCCGGCCCGGTGTCCTGACTGACTGCTAATATTTTTCTGTAAACATCGCTGGGTTCCAGGAGGAGCTGGGATCAATGTGCACTCAGGATTAGCTCCCAGCACAGCCCAGCGCTTCTGCTGCTGCTGTCCACAATCATCCATATGTATGCACACATCCACCCAGCTCACTTCCCCACTTAGTGTTTTCTCCCGGCCTGCTGCTCATGCCTCTCCGTCTCCTCCATGATTTCCCCTGTTGAATCCTGGGCTCACGTCATTGGTCGCTACATAATCACAAATTTGATAGTTGTATTTTATTGCCGCTCAGAAGCCATCGCCGTACTTATCAATCCCGATGCCACTTGTGACTCAACTAACCCCTTCTGTCCCCCTTTGCTCTTCATCCTCAGGTTCCTATGGGACGACTATGCGGTGGAGGTGCGGCTGAATGACTACCTGGACATTGTGTGCCCCCACTACCCGCTGGGCGAGGTGGCATCGCAGGACGCTGAGCGCTACGTGCTCTACATGGTGGAGCGGGAGGACTACGACGCTTGCAAGCCTCAGTCCTACGACCAGATGCGCTGGGAGTGCGGCCACCCCTTCGCACCCCATGCCGCCGAGAAGTTCTCCGAGAAGTTCCAGCGTTTCACCCCCTTCACCCTGGGCAAGGAGTTCCGCCAGGGAGAGAGCTACTACTATATCTGTAAGTGTCAAGCTAGCAGATAGTCCACTATTTATTTATCCATGTGAATTAATTATTTCTAGAGAATTTGTAAGAGAACTTAAAGGGACACTTCAACCCAAAGTCAACGTATGCTAGATGTTCTCAGACCTCAAAAGTAGTCTAATGTCAAAATGAGAGTGGGATGAAAGTCCCTTTAAATCAGGAAAAATGTGTCGGGAAAAGCACTGCAGACGATATAGAAGTGTATACAGTCAAGTTTGACCTTATGACCCTTGGCAAAGTACCCACACAAATAAGTCGCCATCTTGAAGTCTTCTGTTACCATTCAGTGAATGTTAGCGTGCTATGTTGTCTTGTTGGCATGCTATGTTGTGCATTGGTGCTCACATGCTAGCTAGCTAGCAGATAGCCGGTGGCCCAGTCACCCAGAGAGAGTCGATGACGTGACCCTGAGTGTGTTGTAATTAGATGAGCGACGGGACACACCGCCTGCTCACAGATGGCTGCAGGCCGCGTGTGTGTCCATGCATGTGTATCTGTCTGTCTGTCTGTGTGTGTGGAGGTGGATTAAGGCTACACAGGAGGATAAGTGCATTAGTTTGTCTGTGATTAACGCTTGTCTTTGTTCCTTCCCCTGTCCAGCCAAACCTCTGCACCACCACGGACAGGAGTGCCTCAGGCTCAGGGTAGACGTCGTAGCTGCTGATGGTAAGTTTTGCTGCCCTAGTGGTTGGGTGGAGAAGTGCACTGTATAGGCTTTTGTCTGCGTCCCATAGTGCACTACTTTTAACCAGGCCCTGGTCAAAAGTAGTGGACTATATAGGGAATAGGGTGCAATTTGGAATGTAGCCTTTGTTTGATAATGATGATGATTTTAGCTCCAGGCTGCAGTAAGGCAGAGGGATTGATTGTTCTTTTTCTCATCCAGGTTCTCAAGAGGCCAGGGTTGCAACTGGAGGAGCTGCACCTGGAGCTGGGGGTGGAGCACACAACGCCTCTAACAGACTGCCTGCAGGTATGTTAATGAACAAACCATGGACCAGTTGGACTCTCTATGGGCCAGTTGTACTTGACCCTAGGACTGAACGTTTGTGGCCAGATGATACTTAAAGATATTTCAGTGGAGATTCTTCATTGATCATGCTTTTTAATCCAGGGCTAGGATTAATCTGTGTCTGGAAAACTGGCCCTTGAAGTTCAGATTAAGGATGGGTTAACATGTACTAATGTATATTCTATATTTTCTCCATACAGATGACCCAGTGGTAATCCTGCCAGAGGTCCAGAAAAGCGTGCGGACAAATTTGGCAGTCTCGACAGCGTCCTTCTCCATCCTCTCATTGATGGTACCAGTCTTATTATTACTGTTGTTACAGTGAGACTCTGAAAGAACTACAAATCCTATAGACTTGGAGGGACTACAATGAAGTTGGCCTGTGGGGAACCACAGACACAGAAGACAGTTCTCAAAGCCCAGTGCTGGTCACTGGGAGAGGGACCTTTTTAATCTTGTAAATACAGATGGACACACATTCGCTAAGTGTGCTGTGTGAGACTTTGATTGGAGTTTTGTGAGGAGGAATTCATCTTTGTCCTCTCTTTTTTATGATGTCAGTATTTCCTGGACAGATTTAGTTCTATTTAATGTTAGTATTTGTTTTACTCTTCTCCTCCAAAAAACATGATTCATTTTGGGAAAAAATGAAGAGGAACCTAATCTGGAATGGATGAAGAACAATCACTGAAGACGAAGCTAATGGACTTTCCTATATGGACAACTGTTTGTATTTTATATGAATTTGTATTAGAAAAAACACCATTTAGTGCATCATCTTCTCTAACCTTTTGAGCCAAAGAATACAGTGATCATCTCTCCAGTATGTAACTATTCTATTCCAACCTTGACTATTGTGTACTGTTAATTGTATTGTTATTGTATTGGTATTGAGTGGCACTAAATGTCCAAGTGATTCTTTGTCAATGTAGCACCGACAAAAGCAGGGAATGTGTTAGCTAACTATCAATGTTCCTGTGCAGACCTGACCATATGCTTTCACAGCACTAACCATACAGCACAACAACAGACATGCAACACACTATTCAGTTGTACAGTCTGACTGACACCACAATGCAGACTCATAAAGGGAGACACTACATGGAAAGGAACGGTGTTGTGTACATTTTGTGAAAATAATTTATAAAAGTTTGCAGCTGAAAGATAACATAATACTGTATGTTTAACAAATGCTATGTTTACTGTTGGAAAGTGAGCTCTCTCCAAGTGGGAGAATGAGTGTCTCAGTGAGAGAGTGAGACAGAGAAGGTGTGCGAGGGAGAGAGGTCAAACAAAATGTTAAATCTGCCAAAATCAAACACTGATATGTTGTGTGTAGCAGCGGAAGGTGGGCCTTCTCTGTTTTGTCGGATCATGCACTCGTACTGTTTAAACTAGATCACCCAGACTGATCTATACTAACCACAGCACTCGCCAGAGTGTTTCACTATGTAACACTGTTTGTTGCATCTAATCTCTACTTCAATCACTAAAAAGTTAACCAAGTAAAAAAGGAAGACATTTTATTCAAAGACATAGTTGTGATTTGATTGGACATAATTTACAATTTGGTTGCATTTTAATGCAATTCGGCATTTACAATAAAGCAAAGGTCTTGGGAAATACTGCTCTGGTGAGGTTATAGGACTACACTCACTGAAATCACAAGACACGGCACCAATCTTAGCTGCCAAGCTCAACTTACTTCACAGGGTGGTTTGAACGACAGACACAACGGTATATGACTAACATAATCCTTTTTGTTCTCAGAAAGCGTGTTACCTTATTTTGTACATGTTGAAGTAAAGTGTATTATATGTATATATAGAATATTATATAAAGAACCCATTTGATAAATATGATAAATGTGACATTTCCATGTGAAATAAAATATATATTTTTGAAAATGAGAACGGCATCCTTCCAATGGTTTCTCTTCCCTTTCTCTGACTATCATTTTCCACATTTTTTTCATTTTTTCCCATCCCTTCTTAAAATGACCCGATTTCCATTATATTACAGTAGAAAAAACAGATCAGTCGATAGCTGTAATAATGGTCAGTCATATTAATATTGAGTTAAATACAGATGTTCACGACAGTTTTTCCAAGGCCAAAGTCTTGGCTCATGACAGGAAAGGATTACAATGGAGACAGAGCTGTGTATGTCATTATTCACAATAGGCTTGGCCATTTTGGCAAGGAGGTCCAAAACCACAGGTGTGATCCTACTCTTGTCTTTTTATTTCAACTTTTGTGGACCTCCACCCATATCTCCCCCTCATTTGTCCTTCATATCCCCCTCTCTGCTATCCCATAGTAGTCCTCTCCTCCTCTGTTTTGTATTTCCATCCATTGTTCTCCTCCCTCTCTCTCTTCACAGAGGAGCTTTACGGCCGTGACAGTAAAAGCAGCTGTGGCACCAAAGTGTGGTGGTGCCACAGCACTCCCCTGTGTTTTCAAAGTGATTGTCATAAATTAGGCACAGCAGACGGTTGACCCTTCAGAGAGCCTCAACATAATGGGAGCCTGTAGAGGAGAATTGCTCCTCTGTTGACTCCTGACTCGCTCGTCCACTGCTCTGACATAAGTAAACGTGAAGAGCGATGAGGAACAAGTGTAAAATCTTTATCACCCGTACTGAATGTAAGGGCAGTCTAGACACTGAGCGAAGACAAGAAAATGCATGCTGAGAACAATGTCTTCAACAAAAATCAAATTAAATTGTGTTTTTAGGCCGCAAACATCAAGTGCTAGTGCGGTTAGACATGTAGCCATATATGACACAACCATTTCCTAATACTATGAGCCAATCTCATAGGTCAGGACAAACAAAGCATTTTATATCAGGAGTCATAGACATAGTTGAACTGAATAAGAGCTGCATGCACAACATAGAAGCAGGACTGATGTCAGAGACACAGTGAGAGGCCCACAATTTGGAGGACAACAGAGTGGGTTTGGCACAGCCAGCTGGTCAAGCCCTGAGTCTTTGGACCGAGTCAACCAATCAATCAGCAGGACACAGCATGGGTCGTCGTCAGCATACGTTAACCCAATTACGGAGTAGGTAGGATACAAGAGTGGAGTTTCCAGAGCGTAGGGGGAGGTTATCTAAAGTTATGGTAGTCATGGGTGAGTCCCAAATGGTACCCTATTCCCTTTTTTAGTGCACTACTTTTGACCAGAGCCCTATGAACCCTGGTCAAAAGTACTGCACTATATAGGGAATAGGGTGCCATTTGGGACACCACCAAGATGTAGCATCTGTAACCTGGCTGGGCGGTACTGTGGTTGTGGAAAGCTAGCTAGCATCTCATTACTAGTGTGTGCAGCCAGTGGCTTATTGGAACCGGAACTGTATGAACACAAAAGGCTGACCTGTGGCTGACTTTATAATCTCATTCTAGTTCTTTATTATGCAGTGGTGTGTGCACAGACATTGCATTTGGAAAGTATTCAGACCCCTTGACTTTTTCAGATTTTGCCACGTTACAGCCTTATTATAAAATGTATTAAATTGTTTTTTTTCCCCCTCATCAATCTACACACAATACCCCATAATGTCAAAGCAAAAACAGGTTTTTTGAAATTTTTGCAAATGCATAACAAAATAAAAAATGGAAATATCACATTTACATAAGTATTCAGACCCTATACTCAGTACTTTGTTGACGTACCTTTGGCAGCGATTACAGCCTCGAGTCTTCTTGAGTATGACGCTACAAGCTTGGCACACCTGTATTTGGGGAGTTTCTCCCATTCCACTCTGCAGATCCTCTCAAGCTCTGTCAGGTTGGATGGGGAAAGTTGCTGCACAGCTATTTTCAGGTCTCTCCAAAGATGTTAGATCGGGTTCAAGTCCGGGCTCTCGCTGGGCCACTCAAGGACATTCAGAGACTTGTCACGAAGCCACTCCTGCGTTGTCTTGGCTGTGTGCTTAGGGTCCATGTCCTGTTGGAAATAAACTTTCGCCCCAGTCTGAGGTCCTGAGCGCTCTGGAGCAGGTTTTCATCAAGGATCTCTCTGTACTTTGCTCCGTTCATCTTTGCCTCGATCCTGACTAGTCTCCCAGTCCATGCCGCTGAAAAAAATCCCCACAGCATGATGCTGCCACCACCTTCTGGAAAGTTCTCCCATCTCCACAGAGGAACTCTAGAGCTCTGTTAGAGTGACCATCGGGTTCTTGGTCACCTCCCTGACCAAGGCCATTCTCCCCCGATTGCTCAGTTTGGCCGGGTGGCCAGCTCTAGGAAGAGTCTTGGTGGTTCCAAACTTCTTCCATTTAAGAGTGATGGAGGCCACTGTGTTTTTCGGGACCTTCAATGCTGCAGACATTTTTTGGTACCCTTCCCCAGATCTGTGCCTCGACACAGTCCTGTCTCGGAGCTATACGGACAATTCTTTCGACCTTTCCAAATCATGTCCAATCAATTGAATTTACCACAGGTGGACTCTAATCAAGTTGTAGAAACATCTCAAGGATGATCAATGGAAACAGGATGCACCTGAGCTCAATTTCAAGTATCATAGCAAAGGGTCTTATGTAAATAAGGTATTTCTGTTTTTTTATTTTTAATACATTTGCAAAAATTTCTAAAAGCCTGTTTTTGCTTTTTTGCTTCAACAAAGTACTGAGTAAAGGGTCTGAATACTTATGCAAATGTGTTATTTCAGTTTTTATTTTTTAACAAATTAGCAAAAATGTCTAAAAACCTGGTTTTGCTTTGTCATTATGGGGTATTGTGAGTAGATTGATCAGGGGAAAAAAAACATAATCAATTTTAGAATAAGGCTGTAACTTAACAAAATGTGGAAAAAGTCAAGGGGTCTGAATACTTTCCGAATGCACTGTATATATCAACATCAAATGAACACAAATAGAACGTAGCTCGTCAAAGTGTTACACAGGAGAGCCCCCTGAGCCGTTGCCTAGGCTACTGGCTAAAAACAACAGAGAGAGAGTACGGGTCAGGGTCACAGGGGGCTGAGAGGAAGGAAGACACCCTGGTCACTGTCAACAACACAGCCAGGCAGCTCGGCTCAGGCTCTCTCTTCAATCAGGGGCAAATCCTGGAACCCTGCCATCGGAGTGTGGTCTGGGTGTGGTCTACTCTTCCTGGCAAAATGTTCTGTCACACGCTCCTCTCACCCATCATGCCTCGGCCAGGGTCATCTACCATGTTTTCCTGACCTTGTCTCTTACCCTAGCTTTCTCTCTATCTTTCTCTTTTCCTGACCCACTCCCTCATGTCTGTTTTCAGCCCAGTACATCCCTTTCTTCCTATCTCTTTGTCCTCCTCCTACCTCTCTGACTTCTTTCCCAAGGTTTTGAGCTTTTCTGTGAAATATGAATTGTGTAGGAGGGGAACGTTTTTTTTTTGTATGATAGGAGGATAACCTATACTTTCTCAGGCTTTAACCTCATGTCTGTGTTGAAAACTCTACTCTTAGTGCTGTCACTGTGTCTTGATCCCTGTAGGACTGGCAAGGACCCAAGTGTAATCCTATATCCTTCCCTTCTCGCTCGGTCTCTGCTTTGTTTGTGCCTGTTTTTCGGCACTCCTCTCACAGTGCTGTAGGGGAGACCGTAGTAGGTTGTCACACTTTTTACTCATGTGTATTTCTCTGCACCAGTATATCTTACAATACTATTTTCAATATTAGGAGAAAGACCAAGATGTTGGGTTGAAATTGGGACCCTTTTTATCCTCATATCTTATTCCAACATGGAGTTATAAGCCAGTGGTCCTCTGTAGCTCAGTTGGTAGAGCATGGCGCTTGCAACACCGAGATAGTGGGTTCAATTCCAGGGACCGCCCATACGTAAAATGTATGCACGCATGACTGTAAGTTGCTTTGGAAAAAAAGCGTCTGCTAAATGGCATATATTATTATTATTATATATTAGTTATAAGCCATCAAACACACTCTGTCCACTTGTGACAACCAGCCCCATCGTGGAGTTGGTTGTCACGCAGAATGGGGTTGGTTGTCACAATGTTTGCTAGTAGCTTATTCCTTTTGTAACAGGAAGTGAAGCAATATAGCATACAGATAGCCAAGCCTTTCTTTGATCGAACGATATTCCTAACAAAATTCTGCATTTTATGCATTGATAATAACATATTACATTTTGAGTATATTTGTGTGTGTATGAGTGTGTTTGCACATGCATGTGTGCGTGTGTGGGTGTGTGACAGAAAAAAGATGTGCGTGAGAGGGAGGCAAATGAAGGGAGGTCTTTATAGCACAAGCACAAAAGAGCTTGGGATTTATTGTATACTGGTAGTGGCAATGTTCCCAAACAATATGGTTACAATAGGTTGGATTGTGACAAGGGCATTTCCATGTAAAAGGCCCCATGAGCACTAACATAGGAGCACATCAAAGTTGGTGTCAAATGAAAGCTAAGAGTCTAAGCTATATTTTTGAGAAATTATGTTATAAATGTTTCAACCATTTTCCAACCTAGAAATGTGGAATAAGCAAAGGCTTTGATTTCTGGTTAAACAGATAGAAAAGGGGTCTTAGAAAACAGTACAGTGTAGCTCAGTACAATACAGTACAGTGCAGGAGAGTTCAGTACAGTAGAGCACACTAGAGTAGAGTACAGTATAATGTACTGTATTGTACTCCACTGTACTGAACTCTACTCTACTTAGAGCTCTGCTACCCGACCCGAGCTGAGGAATATTTCTGTCTGTAATAAAGCCCTTTTGTGGGGAAAAACTCATTCTGATTGGCTGGGCCTGGCTCCCCAGTGGGTCGGCCTGGCTCCCAAGTGGGTGTGCCTATGCCCTCTCAGGCCCACCTATGGCTGTGCCACTGCCCAGTCGTGAAATCCATAGTTTAGGGCCTAATTTACTTATTTTAATTGACTGATTTCCTTATATGAACTGTAACTCAGCAAAATTGTTGAAATGGTTGCATGTTGCGTTTATATTTTTGTTCTGTATACATCAGGGTTAGGACCGGGTTAGGGCCTGTTTTTACATCAATAACTAGGGTATTTTGAAGCTGAGCCATTTGTTCGAGCTCTACTGCGCAGTACATTAACATCTGACTAAGATCATACCATGGTGTCAGAAGTGCTTCAACCACGTCAAATATATGACAGGAGAGATTATTTCACCAAAAATATTAATGTTCCTTGAGTTTTGTCAGAGTTTAGAGTGACGAAAAGTAGCTAACAGCTAACTGCTCTTTCATGTCTCGTCATGAGTAGAGCAGCCTAAGCAGAGCCGTTGCTATGGTTACTCACAGACTCAGAGCCGCCATGATCGGAATGCATGCAGAGGGAGCTGCCTGAGCGCAGGGAGCGAGTGACAGATAAAGAGGAGCAGCTAATGGATTTACTAACAGAGGAAGTTATTTCTGATTTTGGGTTTTGCGCAGTGCCGGGTTTCAAATTTGGCAGAAGC